AACTGCATACAACCAAATGTACGAATGAAGCAGATGTTTAGTGACGTGCGCTTAAGATGCTAAATAATTATGTATCATGTTTGTCATCTGCTGATCTACATGCAAATCTGTTTGTTGGTCTCGCTCTCATGTCTTGTATATTTCTATACCTCTATGTCATGATCATGTTTTGGTGTTTGTTTGTTTTGTACACAGATCTATTTGCAGATCTGTCTGCTTGCAGCATGTGTATTGTGTTCTTTAGTTTGTAATAAAAATAAATAAATCCAGCAAATTGATTCAATTAGCAGCAATCGTGGAGGCAGCCACACTCAGGCAGCCATTTTCATTTTCTTAATACTGTATGTTTGTAAATTAAACAGAGATGTAAAACATCAGTGTCTGATAATATTGAGTGTACGACAGTCGTTAATCTTTGTTGGAAACTATAGAAGTGATGTTATGCTCTAAGATCTCGAGAAGAGCTGGAGCAGCTGAATGCAGTATCTTCTGTTTCTCTGTGGTGGTGGCCATGTTGAGGTCACATGACCAGCAGAATATTACTCAACTTTATCTCAGGAGACCCCCTATTATCAGACACAAGAATAACTTGGGGGGAAATACACCTGTGAAGAGGATATTTTTACAGTGACTTTTGTGAGATGCTGCATTCGTGCTGATAGTGTCAAACCACTGTAATAAGAACCAGTGAAATATCCACAAACATGGCTTAGTGTTCTTTTAAAGATTAAACATTTAAACCATTTAGTTATCACACAATGATTCAAAAATTGTTTCTGAACAATTATACTTGTGAGAATGTAAATGTATTAGTTCTATAACAGTGTATATGAGTTTGTTAGCAGCACTAGCTGTTGTAAATCCTGCCCACTTCTTTGCATCGTCAGCACATGCTTCAGTGCTCTGAGAGTGTTTATAGTGCTGTGAGTTTAACACTTCATGACTGAGAGCAGAACACAACACAATCTTCATCATCACACAAGACACAACAACAACAATGAACAACATCCTCATCCTCATCCTCATCTGGACATTGCTCTGCTGTATAATGGGTATTGAACGTTTGGATAAAATTAATTTGATTGTAATGAAGTTGGCTAACATATACTATATATTATAATATGGAACAAAATGTTTGTATTTGTCTTGATATACATACATGAATCCTATAAATGTCTCTCTCAGGCTCCAGCGGACAGATCACAGTTACTCAAACTGCAGTTCAAACAACTGAACTAGGCAAGACTGTTGTGATGAGATGCACCGCCAGCACTCCTTTAACAGGCTGCAGCACACCATGTTTGTCCTGGTACTTGCAGAAGCCTGGAGAAGCTCCTAAACTCCTCATATATGTGACATCAAACCGTCACACTGGAACTCCATCTAGATTCAGTGGCAGTGGATCTGGCAGTGATTTCACTCTGACCATCAGTGGAGTCCAGACTGAAGATACAGGAGATTATTACTGTCAGAGTGCACACGTGATCAGTGGTAGCTGGGTGTTCACACAGTGATAAAGAGTCGTACAAAAACCTCGGTCAGTCAGAGTCACAGTGACTGCACTGATACAGCTGAGAGACACTGCAGCTGCTGATGGATGTGAATAATCTCAATCACTCTTGTCTGTAGATAACTATATTACAGTGCATAACACTATCTATTAATTTATTAAATCTGTACTGGTTAGTTAAATTAGTTTAAAACAAAAAAGGCTTGACGCTCAACATATAAAAAAAATCATCCACTGTCCACAGCATTGCAGTCAAAAACTGTATGAACTTTTATTATATTTTAAAATAAAACACTGTAACACTTTTAATGACCAATTCTCACTATTATTTAGTATGAATGTTATTAGCCTATTGGCTGTTCATTGGTACTTATAATGTATATATTAATGCCTTTTTCTGAATTAACATATATCCGATGCCTTAATCCTACCCCATAACTATTAATAAGCAGCAAATTAGAAGTTTATTCAGGCAAATGTCATAGTTGATAGTTGGTTAATTTTGCAAATTGGACCTTAAAATAAAGTTTCTCTTGCTTGTACAAAGGGGTCTTTGACCTGTGATGCGGTTAATTTAACCACTATAGAGGCTGAACAAAATAATGGCTTGATGCTCAAAATCCCCAAAAATCATCCATTGCCCACACAGTTGCAGTCAAAAACTCAATTAACATTTTTTTAATATTTAAAAATTAAAATACAAAGAATCAAACCTGTGCAGCAGCATATCAGGCTGTGGGGTCAAAACACATTTGAAGCATCGCATTTTAAAAGAAGAACCAGGATGATCCTTGAGACTTCCTGTTATTTTTAGCAAAACCCAAACATTGTCTGCAAAACACTGTAAGGAAATCATGCAAATAATAAAGGATAACAAAACAGGTGTGTCTACATTCTGTCAATGCTCTGTCTTGTATGTAGTGATGAGGATTGGTAAGTCACTTCATTCTGTTGAATTGCTTCATCCTAAACAGTTCTCTTTCTCTAATATGTAGCTTTAGATTAGAGGTCCACACTATTTCACCAAGGTTCATCCACTTGGAGATTTCTGACCTCGCCGCTGATCTGCGGTGAACTTTGACCTCTTTTATCATGGAGTTTATAATAATGATACTTCATATACAGCTTATGATTCACCCCCCAAAAAATGCATGATCAATCTAAACTTATACAAAATGATAATGATGATCTTTATCTTTATACTGTGATGTAAAAAAGGCCACATGAAAAGATTTCCCAGAAATCAGCATGTCATTGTTTTAGGGTTGAATTAACATTGTCTAAAATTAAAATGTCATTAACATTGAATCTATATATTTATTGTGTCTATTAATTCCAACATTGAAGAACCATAACTATTTTGTTGATATTGTTTATGCAATTATATTCAAAATTTTCAATTCAGTTCAATTCAATTCAAGTTTATTTGTATAGAGCTTTTCACGATACAAATCGTTGCAAAGCAACTTCACAGAAAATTAAGTTTCTAAAATATTTAGTGGTAGTTTATCAGTGGTGACTGTCAGTTAATGTATATATGGTAGAAATGTACGGAAAAATCAATAAAGACGTAATCAAACAGACGATGAACACTATTAACAGCAATTATTATATGATGCAATCAAACTTATAGCAAAATGTGGTAGTTCTGTATGTTGTTTCAGGGTTGGCATCATCTGAGGTCCTCTGAGGGGTTGCATCATCTCTTCTCAGGTGTTCTGGATCCAGACTGAAGCTTGTGTAAAAATGTAATTTTGTAAAATACATTTGGTATTCTAAAGGTATTCAGTTTATACAAGTTCAATGTTAAAAAGAAGAAACACACTGTAATGTGGTGTTTTGGGTTGTGTTTCTTGTTCATGTTTTCATGTCTTTTATTTTGGAGTTTAGTCATGGTCCCTGTTTGTGTCATGCTTCCCTTGCCCTCATGTATTCATGCCATTGGTTCTCTTGTTCTTTGTGTCATGTTCTGATTGGTAGTCTTAGTCATGTGTCTTGTTCCCTATTAGTCTGTTCTTGTCATGTGACCCTCGTTGTTTGCTATAAGTAGCCATCATGTTGCCATTGTCTCTGGTGGTGTATTGATGTTGTAACCTGCTGTTGGTGAGTCAAGTCTGTTCATGCCTCGTCAAGTCTATTCAAGCCTGTTCATGTCAAGTCAAGCCTGTTCATGTCAAGTTAAGCCTATTCATGCCTAGTCAAGTCTGTTCATGCCTCGTCAAGTCAAGTCTGTGTCTCTAGTCTTTGTTTATTGTTTGGATATTTGGATCACTGTAAATAAACTGCACTTAGGTTCTCACTTATGCTCACCTTCAGTGGACTGAATTCGTTACAGACACACAGAAGTTTGACACTGAAAGACTGAAGTCAAAGAGCTCTACAAGCTCAAGAACCGTTTTGAGGTGCTCGGCAACACAAAAGAAGAATCCAGCTTGGATGATGCACTTGACAGTATCAACGACACGATAAAGAAAAGAGCTGAAGAGGTAATTGGCTTTAGAAGACACAAAAACACTTCGTGGATCACAGACAAAGTCCTGGCACTTGGTGATGAACAACGAGATGTGGGTAAAAAGAACAACAGCCCAGATGACATGAATTTAAAACAACAATGCTCATAGCTGAAGACTGACATAAACAACAAGGTTGTGAAATGCCACGACGAATGGTTCAACAAAAAATGTTGCGTAGCAGAAGAAGCAAGCAAAATGAAAGACATGCACACTCTCTTCCAAAAGTTCAAAATGCAAAGAAAGGAGTCAAAATGATTGAAAGGTGCAGCAGCAGCAGAAACAAAGACAGCAACCTACTCACCAAGGATACTGATATACTTAATAGATGGTATGTGTATGGCAGTGGTCTTCACAATGCACCTATTGAGGCAGATGAGGATAATCTGGAGCAACTCTGGCCAAACTGCAAGAGAGATGAGCATGAACCGGACCTCCTTGAGAGAGAAATTAGAACAGCCATCTCCAAGATCAAATCCCGGACAGCTCCTGGTATCGATGGAATCAAAGGCGAGCTAATCAAAGGTGGCAGTGAAGCCGTAGTCCATATTACGCACAAGATTTGCAATACAATTTGGGTCACTGGTCTACTTGATGGACTATGAATACTTACCTGTGACTTACCTTGTGTGATTACTCCTTTCCAGTCTCCAGTGATCCCCTCGTGTCTCCAGTGTAATCCTTTGTCTATTTCTTGTCACCTTCACCTGGAACTGAGCAGTGTGTGTGTGTGTGTGTGTGTCCCAGTAATCTCTGATTATATTCTCTCCATTGCTCACTCCTGCCTCCATTATCTGCACTACCTTCCTGTCAATAAACATTGTTACCTGCATCTCTATCCTGTCCAAGTGTTCCGTAACAACCCTATACTACTGTATTTTCGCATACAAAACTATGTTTGCTATATTTAGTAAATACATTAATATTTAAAGTCATTAGAAAATTTGTTATTTAACATTATTGTCATTGCACTGTTTGTGTCACCCGCCTCTCATCAGCAGCTGCAGTGTCTCTCAGCTGTATCAGTGCAGTCACTGTGACTCTGACTGACCGAGGTTTTTGTACGACTCTTTATCACTGTGTGAACACACCACCATTATGATAACTCCGACAGTAATAATCTCCTGTATCTTCAGTCTGGACTCCACTGATGGTGAGAGTGAAATCACTTCCGTAGTCAGATCCACTGCCACTGAATCTAGATGGAGTTCCTGACTGAAGTCTTCTTATGTAATATATGAGGAGTTTAGGAGCTTCTCCAGGTTTCTGCTGATACCAAGACACACAGTCATTACAGCCAGAAATCGGCTGACTGGTTTTACAGCTGATCGTAACAGTTTCTCCTTGTTTGATGGATTTTATTTCTGGATCCTGGGTCACTGTCACTTGTCCCCAGATCTCTGAAATAAGACATTTTATTCATTTAGTGGTTATTGGACTGTACATAAGATGTGTATAATGTTAAGTACAAAATATTTACCCTGAATGCAGAGCGTCAGAGTCCAGATGAGGATGAGGATGTTGTTCATTGTTGTTGTTGTGTCTTGTGTGATGATGAAGATTGTGTTGTGTTCTGCTCTCAGTCATGAAGTGTTAAACTCACAGCACTATAAACACTCTCAGAGCACTGAAGCATGTGCTGACGATGCAAAGAAGTGGGCAGGATTTACAGCAGCTTGAGCTGCACTGTAAAAAAAAATCCGTAAAATGTACGGTAAAAAACCGGCTGCAGTGGTTACCGGAATTTAACTGTAAAAAATACAGTAGGAACGTTTTAGGTTTTATGGTTTTAACTTAAATTTACAGTTAAATATCGTACTTTAATTTGATATAATGTTAATATACCAACCTATTGAAGTACTGAATACACTGATAACCACCAAATGCAGGTTATCAGTGCCCATCACAAGCAGCTTTTAGATAATAACATATATAGAAGGTGCACAGTGTCATTCACACAAACACTAAACACCATCACGGTAACACACATGAAACTGAAATCATGCAATAAACATTCATTTAACAACATTAGGTGTAACACACAACCCTAATATACAAAACTGATAATAAAAAACTAAGAAGAAACACAATTATTTCAACAAAAAAACAACATTTTAAATGTAACGCAGGGAATTCTGGGAATGTCAATTTACGGTTATTCATTGTAAATTATATGGTATTTTTCACTTCCAAAAACGGTATACTACCGTAAAATTAATGTCCAATACATGTAATGTCCAATACAGTTTTTCACCGTATATAGTAGGGGAATTTATTGTTAACCATTTAACAGGCTTTTACTGTAGCATTTTTACAGTCTTTTACCGT